TAGGAACTGATATTGAGTGTTGTGAGTTACGTAGGAACTGATATTATTTGTGATGAGTTACATAGGAACTGATATTGAGTGTTGTGAGTTACGTAGGAACTGATATAGAGTGTTGTGAGTAACGTAGGAACTGATATTGAGTGTGGTGAGTTACGTAGGAACTGATATTGAGTGTTGTGAGTTACCTGTATTATTGGAGGCCAGACTGTTGGTACTGATATTAAGCGTGGTGAAGGATTCCGTTTTGAACTGGTTTGAGTATGTTCGACTCTGCCGCTTCTCGTTGTTCTCTGGGCGCAGAGGTCGCTTGGGTGTGATCTGGTACAGCAGGGAATAGTTAGACATACTGTATAAAACACGACTACTATACCCACTCCACTTACCTATCAGAAATATATTCAACAATTATACCTCTCCCTTTACTTCAACAAATTTGTCTTTCTACGACAACTAGTCCCAGTCTGATATCCTACCTACAATTTCAATCCTTTTATCTACTTGTATACACCCATCCATGTCCTTCCCCCTAGCTTATAATTTGACCCTGACCTCTATTTCTTTACCGTTTAACTTCTGCCCCATTGTCCTACCCCTAACTTTCTATCCCCCCCCCCCCCCTTACCTGTATATCCTATCCCCTCTATACTACTCCCGTCACTACTCCCGTAACTAGTCTTTACCCCTGTTTGACCACTAAGCCCTTACCATTACACCTAGTTTGATCACGTCTAGCCACTTTGTATATTCCTTTCTATCTTTCCGTCCTGTGCTAAGAAATTCTGATTGTTAGGAGGACTATTACCAGGTATTATATATTTGTAATGATAATGAATCCTTAGAATGAAATACAACGGAAAGGTTAACAATGAATTATGATAATTAACGCTGGGTAAGATATCAAATATTATTAATTGTCAATCTTTTCTTCTACTTGCCAATGAATTATCTGATTTGATGAAATCTCTATTGATTTAAATTCAAGGTTATGCCAAAAGTATCACTTTTAAGGTAACTTTAAACTAGGATGATTTTTACTTTGATCAAGATGAGATAATAATTAATATATATTAATGTATGTATGATATATGACAGCTAAAAAAAACCGAAAGAAAAGTATGTATTAGCAAAACTGCTAAGATGAAGAAAGCATGAAACAAAAATGACAAAATAGCACAATTAGTAAATAAAACTAGTTAAATGATCATGTCAGGTACACAAATGTGAAATTAACCATACACCTCTTCTACTTCTACCAAACATGCCAAAACACACCAATTAAACAAAAACATTACATCTTTAGAAATCTACTGACCACAACTACATAATCAGGATTTTTTTCAATATAAAAAAAAAGAAATCAAATAACTCAAATAAACTGTCAAAACTGAACTAAAATTATACTGAGCATTAAAATCAAAATTAAATACTGAATGTTTTCATTCCATTTAAAATATTGCAAAAGCTTGTGCTGAGAAGTCTAGCAGAGAGGGAAGCTCAATCCAGATTATCTGTGTGATAGTATGTGTGCAAGCACAGGAAAGTTAGCTTGCAAACATATACAGACGGTAATGATTAGCTTGTGGACGTTAATATAAAGTCCATCTGATGTGTAAGTAAACAACTGATTTCCTTTGAAAACCCTTCCTTGTTAATTTTCTCTGTTAGGTCACATAATAGATATTATACACAATACCTTATAACACTAGTAATCTGATCAGGAGGAGGCTAGTTTTGATCTTGGTGACTGAGGTTATTTAGTCTAGAAATGGATCATTGTTATGGCTGAGGGTATTCAGTCATTATTTATAACACCCTGGAAAATAAACAAATGTCCTAAATGGAAGAAAAGTCAAATTTTTGACAGTTTTTATCCGTGAACCATTTAAGCCACTAGTCGTGGTTGATTGATTTTTCACACTTTGTTTAGTTCATTACTTTATTATTATATAATTATGTCATAAAAAAATCACCACATTCCCATCTATCTATCTATCCCTGAACTGGATATTATAAACTTTATTAATTGCAAGCTGGAACCTCAATCTAATCAGGTTAACATCTTGTACCCTATTTTGTGTACATTTTTTTCATATTCATCTATGTCCAAGACCTTCATAAAATGTAACAGGAAGCCATAGTTGAACTTTGACCTCTCCAGGTACACATCTCTGTGTGGACACTTTACTGATTGGTTGAAATAACAGGTCACTGCGATGTGACCTTGGAAGCTCTTAGATCTTGCCTTATAAGTTGAAGTAAAAGAATGCAGTGGAGTACAAGCTATTATGCTGATTAAATTTTCTGACAAGTAAAGCCTCCAATTGAAATTGATATTAAATGTTGCGACATCCCACCTTGTCACCATAACTAGGCAATCTAGTTCTCCGTTGATTTCCTGACGAAAGAAACGTCAGTTCCTACAAAACCGATAAGATTTGGAAATTGTCTAACTGTTCTTAATCAAACCTTGTGTAAGATAAATGACTCAATAAAGCTTTCTATGTAAAAAACAAAAACAAAAAACTAATCAATGATCTTCAATAAAGGTAGGGCATATTTCAGTGTCATTCCTCCAGCTGTATAAATGACAACAGTATAATTTGGATTAAGCATCTCAGAATATATCAAAAATGGGATGAAATGCAAAAAAAAAAAGGAAATAAAATTAAATAAAACAGATAGAACTGGCCTGGTAAATCTCACCTGCAATCGTTTATATGATTTAAACAAATAACATCTTCAGATTTCATTAAAATAGAACAAATGGTTGTCACAAGTCAAAGAGATATTCAAAAACCTTCAAATATCTGTTAATCTCATCATACAATATTTAGACCTCAACCAACCTTCAAATATCCTCAAAACACAAAATACAATATATAACCTCAACCATTACATTCATATTTCCTCAAAACACAAAATACAATATATAACCTCAATCAACCTTTATATTTCCTCAAAACACAGAATACAATATATAACCTCAATCAACATTCATATTTCCTCAAAACACAGAATACAATATATAACCTCAATCAACATTCATATTTCCTCAAAACACA